TCACAATCATTGACATAAGTTGGGTAGAACTGCTTGATGATGATGTTTCATCTTGGATCAGGCCTTGGCCCAGTGGGAAACACAAACACCACAAACATATTAGCCACACAAACACATACCTTTTGTAGGCTGATTGTTTGTCTTGAAAGTTGTGGTGTTGTGAGGGTCTTTTCACTGCGCTGGGATGTAGAAATATCCAAATATAGTCCAAGAATGTCCAAAGAGGCTGTAGGCATATATCCCATGTGCAGGTGTATCCTTTGTCTCTCCTGCTATAGTTTGGTTGTAAAAATCCACGTTTCTCAGCTGAGTTGAGGATTTCTGATCCACACAGTTGGAGTTGTTGCTTATGGTGGTCAAATCCAACCAGATTTTGCAGAAGAAATGTTAGCAGACAGGAAAATATGGCAGCAATTGTGGAGCCTAACAAACCACCATTGCTCACAGCAGCCATCTTGGATCTCAAAAATTAAAGTTATTTATCTACTTACTTAGTTGTCAGACTCCTGTTGAACAGGGATTTAGTCTGATAACAACTTAATGGTTAGAACACAGACCTGTGGGTCAGGAGATGCTAATGCTAATGTGGGATCGAACTGGATCTGGAGTCTGGATCTGCGTTTTCTCCTGCCGGTCGATGACCAGTTTTTTTTGCAAATATCCGATCCAGATATCGGATCGGGACAGGCCTTTCCAGGCCAGAGCACTCCTGGAGAAACTGAATGGATGGGAAGCTTCTCCTGACTTTCTGTGTCCCTCAACCCCACATTTGTAGTTTTGAGGTCAGTCCTCTTTAAAGGCGATGAATCTTCCAATGCGTCTTCCAATTTTGTGAAGCAACTCTTTACCGGGATGGTCACATGGCCACCAGACTCACCTGTGTTTCCCCAAAATCCCATCCTCAGACTCTGTGACACAGATCCCGTCTTCAGACCGCTAACAGACGCCCCGCTGTGTTTTTTCTGATTCTCCTGGTTTTTAACAGAAAGACGTGGGAGAGCGAAGGCAGTCAAATCACACCGAGATGTGAAGTCCAGTGACTAATGCCGGACGGTGTGAGCTAGCATGGTCCTGTGCTGGGCCCACTTCCCGTTCCTTTCCCCGGTCAGACGGGTGATGTGTGGGCGAGCAGAAGTGAGCCGGGATCTGCGATTCAGCGCGAAGCGAGCGGGGAAACGCAGGAGACAGCGACTGGAGAGAGGAGGACTGGAGAGAGGGAGGGAGGAAAGTGAAAGAGACGGCAGATATATCTGACTGTGTGGGCGTGTGAAGTGGCGAGGCATGCATCATAATTGTGGCTTCTTCTCGGAGCAGCTGGACAGTCGGAGCAGGACTCTGCTGGGCTTCTCAAAAGTGAGTTGTCTGCTACTTTGGAGCTGTGAGCCCACACGGACACACAAAATGGAAACCGAGTTTCTCCTGCTGCCTCGAGGATTTAATTAACCGGGGAAAACACAACATTTTTAAAAAACTGACCTGATACCAAACATGATGTATGGAGAATTATGAAACCCCTCCTCAATCCATAACAAAGATTTTGAGTAAAGAACTGAACTGAGGTGAGTTTTTTTTATTTAT